TGAAACTATTGCCCTGAGATAATCTTTAAACTTTAAACCAGAAATATCCCCTATAGTGTTCTTAAAACCAAAAAGTAGTTTAGCTTAATTAGTAACATATGTCTGCCTTGAGCATTAATTCTGCTCTTTGAAGAACTATCTATATGGGATCAAAGTGACAACAGCAACTTGAAAGATTAGATAGGAAGCTTAAGGGGCAGTGAGTTCATGTTAATGGAGGAGGAACAACTCAAAAGGAGGGTGAGTGGTTGCACAACTGGAAGAATGTAACCATTGTCACTGAACTGTTCATGTAGAAATGGTTGAAAAGGTGTATATTTTGCTGTGTATATTCTCAACAACAACAAAATCAATTTTAAAAATTAACAAGGATACGTTGTTTTTAACATTTTTTTATTGTGGTAAAAATATGCAAACAAAATATTTGCCAATTCAACAGTTTCTCCATGTAGAATTCAGTGACATTGATAATGTTCTTCATGTGCAGTTATTTCAACGATAGGTTATTAAGAAAACAGGAAAAGATTAGTAATAGTTTATATTTATTGAGCATTTAGCCATGCCCTCACTAAATGTTTTATACATAATAATGATAATGGAAGCCAATACTCACATGGTATTGACCACATTCCAAGGACTGCGCTAGTGCTTCGGAAGTATTTGTTACAACACCCTATAAGATCAGTACCATTAATACCATCTGTATTTTATGGATGAAACTAAGCCCAGAGAAGTCCAGTAATGTGGTTGTGGTCACACAGCTTGTTACTGGCAGAGCTGGGATTTGAGCCCAACTATTACGGAGCCCTGGTGGCGCAATGGTTGAGTGCTCAGCTGCTAACTGAGAGGTTAGTGGTTCGAACCCACCCAGCTGCTCCGTGGTTGTCACTGTCAGTCAAAATTGACTCCACAGCACCTCACAACAACAATTCTAGCTCCAGAGTCTGCTCTCAACTGCTGTGAGATTCAGCCTCTGGCTGAAGCCCTCAACAGTTTGGGGGAGGTGAGTTCTATTATTATTCCCATTTTACAGATGAGAAAACCAAGGCCTGGAGAGGTAAAGTGAGTAGCCCAAGGCTACCCAGGAACCAGGCCTGTTTGATTCTAGCACCTGTTTTCTTAATCTCAACACTATCAAGTAGAGCATAAGAGTCGCATGACTTATTAAAAGGTTTGCAAGAAATTCCATGCTTGTAGCGTCAGGCTGTACTTCCAGGCATTTGGGGTTCCAATTCACTGTCCTGTCCTTCAGTGGCCAATTTTGGGAAGCACGGAAGGGGTTCTGTAGCCCGGTGGGGGTGGGAAGTGTCTGAATCCTCCCTCCCTCTTTGCCAGGCCCAGCTCTGACCCCTGGTGTTCTCTCAGCCCCTCTGATGTATTCTCTCCACAGGGCAGCACAGAGTATTTCTTGAGCAGTGGCGACAAGATTCGATTCTTCTTTGAGAAAGATGTTTTTGACACAGAAGGTTCGGAGCTGGGGCCCTAGAGATGTGGGAGAGTCAGGGTGAGGGCGGGCTGGACTTAGATATCTGTCCCCCAGGGCTGGAAGGGCGCTGAGGTCCGCTGCCCATGGGAGGACGGACTCTGGATCTTCTTCTCCCTTGACCTGTTCCTTATGCCACAGGCAATTTCCTGGTCCCTCCAGAGAAGTCCATCAACAAAATTGGCCATGGTAAGCAGGGTGTGGGAGGGCAGGAAAAAAACGAGGAAATTGAAGCCTGAAGGGATTAGGGGTCTTGCTCAAAGACCATAGTAAGTTAGTGGCTGGGCAACTGGCATTCCTGGTTGCAGACTCCCCCTGGCCCTGCTCTTCTGCATCTTTTTGATGCCAATCATGTGACGGTTGGTCAAGGTGCTGCCACCACACCACTGGGAAAAGGGGTCTCATCGAGTTCCTCCCCAGTGCAGATGGGCACATGCAAGCCCTTCAACTCTTTGCTGCCTAGTCTGGGGATGATCCACACTCCAGGAATGGAGGCCTTCTAGGTCCTTGGTGCAACTGCTTCCTGGAGCCTCCTCAGGGGGCACCTGGCATACTGACATGGTTCCATTCAATTATGCTCAAAACCAAGCCAGGAAACCCTCACTTTGTGAAATAACAATAATGATGGCAAATAGTGATAATGAGTGACTGTTCTGTGCCAGGCCCTGGGCTATAGCGGTACATGTGTTAGCCCACTGAGAGTCCTCCCAGCAGCCCTGGGAGGCAGGGCTATTCTGCTGGTCCCCATTTTACAGACGAGGAGACTGAGGCTTACAAAAGGGGAATGGAGATTGTTACCAAGTGATGGGCCCCTTGGAGCCCTTTGTCCTCCATGAGGAATGGGGAGTCAGGCCTGGAGGGAGGTTCCCAAATGGCAGGAAGGTCAAGAGTAAGGTCATGGGTGAGATGAGGCCTGGGGTGGGATGAGGCATCTGTGGGACCTGTTAAACTTGGTTATAAACAAACAGAAAGTTTAACGCACACCAAATAGGTGAGAATGTCAAAATGAGGCCTGAGTCTGGGTGCCCCAAACAAGGCACGGGAGCTGGGGTCTGGCCACATAATCCTCTTCTGTCCATGCAGCTCTGCACGCCCTTGACCCGGTCTTCAAGTCTGTTACATACTCCCCCAAGATACAGGTGAGCAGAGGATGGGGCAAAGGCCAGGTGGGTGGGCCAGATGGGCATGTGGGCAGGCCAGCAGCGTGACGTCTGCCCCCTTCCAGGCCTTGGGCAGGAGTCTTGGCCTCCAGATGCCTGTAGTGGTACAGAGTATGTATATCTTCAAGGTGAGCTCTCTGTCTCCCCACACCTTAGCCCTTGCTCACACCAAGCCCCTCCTTACAATGGGCCAAAAGCTGCTTCCCTGAGGAACTGAGGAATTATTATTTACTCAGCACAGCCCATATAAAATTGATCTCCTCTGGCATTTAGTTGGTGCTCAGTTAAGACTTGGTGGTAGGAGGGAAGGGGCTCCCCAGAACTCTTTCTTTGCTTATTTGCCTATCAAAATGCTCTGCTCCCAGCTTTTAAGGCCCAGCTCAGTGCCACCCCCAAGAAGCTTTCCAGATTCCCTGAGAAGAAAAGGGGTCTTCGCCTGGGGGTGAAAAGCATAATCGCTGGCCTCATCTGCGCCTCTCCTTCTAGCCCTCGTTTCATTCTGCGCTGTGCTCTTAGGCTTGCACATGCTGACTCCTGCTTAGACTGGGAGCACCCTGTCGCACAGGGTGCTTTTCTCTTTGCTTCCCCCAAAGCCTGGCACATGCTAAGTGCTCAATAGCTGGGTGTTGGGTTGGAATCCTTGGAGGTTAACGCCTGGAGCCAGGGCCGGAACATCCTACAAGACTCAGCCAGCGCCTGCACCTCCCACACTCCCGCTGTCTCCTATCCTCACCAGGCTCTGCTTCTTTCTTTCAGCAACCTCACTTTGGTGGTGAAGGTAAGCTGAGAGCAGGCTGTGGGGCCCAGCAAAGGCCACAGGTGGGAGATCTGGGACATCAGTGGTTGTCAGCTCTTGGGAGGAAATGAGAGCTACTGCTGAATGTAGGCAGGAGGCTGGACTACGGCGGGAGGAGTTGGAGCCACCTTCTGTTCCTTCCTAGAAAGTGGATTGGGAGGGAGCCTTGGAGCCCTTGGCACAGTTGTTCCTGATCCTGGCAGCAACCCCTGTTTGTTAAAAATGCAGATTCCTGACACCTGTCTCCTGAGATTTTGATTCAGTAGAGCTGCACAGGCCTGGAAATCTGTATTTTTAGCAAATTTCCTGGGAACTGATTCAGCATAGCAGTTACTGATCTAGGTCCAACTCCCACCAGATGCACAGATGCCCTTTACAGCCTATACTTCTGTTTAAGTACCTCTGGTGACAGGGAGCTCGCTTCCTCATAGGAAGCCCTTTCTTCCCTTGCATGAGCCCAAGTCTACTCCTTGTGACCACCCCCTCCTCCCTGCCATTCAGCCCAAGGGCAGTCCTCTGGAGCAATGACCACCCCCTCCCTGTGACTTCTCTGCCCAAGCCCAGCACCCCTAATTCCTTCAGCCATTCCTCCCTAAAGGCTACAGAGACCCCACTATTAGATGCCTTCCTGTGGATGCCATCCAGATTGTCAGAGTCCCTCTTAAAGTCTAGCGCTCAGAAAGTCATACAATTTCCCAGGCAGGAAGGAGGTGAGGTTCGCACCTCCGTTACTTACTTTGTTCCTACAGACTTTGCTGTCTTTGTTCAGTGATTCTCCATCCTGCCTGGCCCCAGCATCACTTGGGCAGATATTTAAAAATATGGATGGTTAGTCATAGTCATCCCCCCTTTGCACCCAACTTCCCAATCTTATCCCACCTGGTGACCATCTGGTGGCTGGAGGCTGCTTGGCTGAAATTAACCGATCATAGCTACTTTTTAGCAACCAATGTCAGGCCCTGTACTATGCACCCTCAATAAATCATCTCATGTAATCTTCCAGCAGCTGTAAGAGTTAGGTTATTGCTTCAGCCACTTCACAGTTTGGGAAATCAAAGCTTTCAGAAGTGAAATCTCTTGCCCAAAAGTGTCAGACCAGGAAGCGGCAAGATTCTAACTGATCAGGGGGAGGCTGGTCCTGGAGGGCTCCAGGAAGACTGGGGTGTGGGAGAAATGGGGCCAAGGTGAGGTGGGGCCGGCCAAAGGGGTAGGGTCCTTACCTCCAGGCCGGCTTGCTGCAGTCACCCCTCATCAGGATGCCACCTACTTGTACACGGAGCCCCTGGGCCGGCTGCTAGGCGTGTGGATTGCCCTGGAGGACGCCTCGCTGGAGAACGGCTGCCTCTGGTTCATCCCTGGCTCCCATACCAGTGAGGATACCTGTCTCTGCCTGCCCACCTATATCCTCCTTCGCCCCATGGAGAGGGACCTGGAGAAAAGAGGGGCTAATGGCTCCAGCTTGGCCCGCAGGTGGAGTGTCAAGAAGGATGGTCCTGGATCCTGCTAGCTCGGCCACTGGCACCAGCTTCCTGGGGTCAGATCCAGCCTGGGAGAACAGCCTGTTTGTGCCCACACCTGTGCAGAGAGGTAGGCAGGCTTCGGAGGGCAGGGAAGGAGGGGGCTGGGGCCATGCACATGGGTCCCTAGTCGTTCTGACCACCAGCACAGAGGCTCCCCACGGGATCATCAGAGGCCTGTGAAGTTACAGAATGAGGAAGGTTGGGGCTGGATGGGCATTTAGCAGTGTGGTTAATAGCAAGGTCTCCGGATGGGGCTCAAATTCAGACTCTACTACTTACAGGCTGACTCTTTGGGCAAATGACTGAACTTCTCTGAGCGTCAGTTTCCCCCAGTGTAGAGTAGAGAAGAAGGAGACCTGGTGGTGCTCAGCTGCTAACTGAAAGGTTGGTGGTTCAAACCCACTAGCGGCTCCATGGGAGAGAAGACATGGTAATCTGCTCCTGTAAAGATTACAACCTATGAAACCCTATGGGGGCAGTTGTATTGTCATATAGGGTAGCTATAAATCGGAATCAACTCGATGGCACACAACAACAACAGAGTGGGTAAGCAAGTGAGATGCGGTGTACAAGGTGTTTACACCAAACTTGCGTGGCACACAGCAAGCACTCAACAAATGCAGGCTATCCGTCCACCCTTTTCCTTTTAGAAGAAAGAAAACTGAGGTCCAACTCAGCATTCACTGGCTGAGGTCATAGCTGATCGGCACAGTATGGAGAGCTTCTGCCCGCTTCTGCAAACACCACAGAAGGGGATGCTCTTCTTAAGGCTTGGCAGGGGCACAGGCCACAGCTGAAGGGACTTGATCCCAGGGGAACCCACCTCTAAACAGCACAACCTCTGACCCTGGAGCAGGCTGCAGAGGCTGAGCAATTAGGGACAGGAATGGGGATAGATGGGAGGGAAGCAGAACTGCTTGAGGAAGGAGGGCCCGTGTCCCTTCCTGCCCTGGGAAGGGAGAGTGTGGGCTGGTGTTCTCCCAGGCCCAGGGAGGGGATGTGACGTGCTTTGTTCTCTCCAGGGGCCCTCATCCTACTCCACGGACAAGTGGTGCACAAGAGTGAGCAGAACCTTTCTGACCGCTCACGCCACGCCTACACTTTCCACCTCATGGAGGCTTCTGGCACCATCTGGAGCCCGGAGAACTGGTAGGGAAGGGTGGGTATGGGTGCCCTGATGGTTCCCTGAGGAGGTACTGGAGGCTGGGAGCAGTAAGACCCACCTCTCGAGGTCATCTCCTTTGTCCTCTGCAGGCTCCAGCCAACAGCTGAGCTACCCTTTCCTCCACTGTACACCTGATGGTCCTCAGCAGGACTGGGGCACTGCCCCTCCCAGGGAGCTTGCAAACACTGAGAGCACACAAGCTGCCTCACCTGACCTCCCGGCTGCAATGGCGAAGTTGCCTCTCTCCTGGGCTTTCCTCTGCTAGTGTCTGTGCCCGGAGTCCAGGAGGCAGCAGCAGGAGCTGGATGGGAGGCGTTCCCAAGATTTTCACTCCCTATCTCCTTCCTGCCCCCGCATACCCTCCTCCTTGATGTAGCCTCTTGGCATGAAAGTACTCTGGCCACCTCTCTGCTGGCTTCTTCTCTTCTGTCCTCTGAGGTGCAACTCTGATTTGTATCGTATGAGACACTGAATGAAAACAACTTCCAAATGCAGCTTCTTGGTCCTTTTCTCCCAATCAGCCCTGATCTCAAGATGAGCTTGGGAATGAATGCTTGGCAGGTATACAGACCCTCCATTGGAACAACTGCCAAATCCAAATCCTGCTTAGCTGGGAGGTCCCTAAAACCTAGGTCTGTCCCACAGGTCGTACACTGGGGCCACGGGCTGGATCCACTGCAGATGTGTTTTGTTTGGGCTTCAGTGTTTTAAAAATACTTTTTAAAATTGGGAGATGTCACATGAAGATCTAGGCTTTTAAACTTCCCTTGAATGAGCAGAAGGTCGACAACACAGGGCCCACATTCTAGCATGGCTACTGCTGGCTGGAGCTGCCTCTTTAGAAGCACATGTGCTTTCGGGTCCAGCACAGTTCCCACTTCCCCGTCCTCATTCATCTGTTACCTGTCTGACCTTAGTGGGTTAGTATGTGACCCTGATTTAGTGTACCTCACACTCTATACATAGACTAACCAAGGCCCAGAGGAGAAAGCCCTTTCCCAAGACCACCCAGGGAGTCAGTGGGGGCAAAGCTGATGCTGCCTCCTTTGGCAAGCAGTCGGAAGGGAGCCTGAAGGAAGTGACAGATTTGTTAAGTTTCCTTTGTGCCCCAAAGGAATGTGTCAGTGCTGTCCTCTGAGGGAAAGGACTTGGCAGCGATTATCAGGCAGAAGTGCAAGCTTCCCCAGAGCCGGTCCTGGCTGTGTTCCTGTCTTTTGGCCTCGTTGGACCAAAGTTCTCACCTCTTTCTGCTATGCCTCCCCATGCCATATTGGATGTTCAGCTTTATGAAATGTGCTGTGCTGTCTTCCCGCTGACAGGAAACTTTCATCCATTCAGCACATGTCGGCTGAGTTCCTACTACATGCCAGGGTGTGCTGCCACTGGGGTATGCGGTGGGACACAACAAGGCTGCAGCGTCGGCCTCTTGCTCAGGCAGAGTTCCAGAGTAGAGCCATTTTGAACTCCCAGGAAACTCCTCCAGCCCCGGGGAATCTGTACTGCGCTCCAGTGTGTTGCCAAAGGAAGAGACAAGGACAAGTTTGACGTGATTGGAGTGTGAGAGGGTCTCAGGAGGGAACCCTTGACAGGATCCTGTGCTGTCCAGCCCAGCAGCACCACTCAGCCAGGCAGCAGAGGCCTTGGAGGCGGGGGTCGGGGAGGAGGTTGGCTGAAACAGGACATCAGCCCGGAACCTGATCCTCTTGTTCATGCATGCAACGAGCCCATCCTACCTCTCCCCTTCACTTCTTCCTATCCCAAATGGGAGAAACCACATGCACTCAGCTATTTCCCCCGTGAGTTTTCCTCCTCCGAATGAAATGGGAGTAAAGATCACTCTGGCCTCCAAGTACAACTGATAAAACCCCCTTGGCTTGCATGGCTTTTTTGCTATGATGAGACTGGTCTAGGTAATAACGACCCTTTCCCTTACTGACTGCTCATTGTGCCCTAGACACTTGACACACCTCATCTCACTGGATCCTCAAAACACCCCCATGAGGTGCATGCTGTTATTAATCCCATCTTGCAGACGGGAGAATTGGGGCCACAGTTAGTAAGTGGTGCAGCCAAGGATTCTAACCAGGTTAGTTTGATACCAGAATCTGAAGCATTAACTACTGTGCCTACTGCCTCCCTGCAGTGTCTACTCTGGCCCCCTCTGAAGACGGGTAGGTGCAGTGGTGGTGGGGGCTCTACAGCACAGTCAAGTTCTTTGAGTTGTTGCACTATCCTTTCAGCCTTTTTTTAAACATTAGCAAAACTAAAACCAAGAGAGCTTTGATTTTTATTTAAATCTGAACGAACCCAAAAATCAAATTTTCTTTTCACCCCTTGGCTCTTCATACCCAAGTGGCTGGCTGCTGTGGGGGTCATTTGCCCTCCCCATGTTCCTGTTTCCTCCATCACTGCTGCTGCACAGCGACTAGGCCATCAGCAATATCAGGAGGTAGACAGGCAAAAGGAGATTGTCTATCTGTGTTGTGTACGCTTCTAGGAGGGACACAGTACTGATGGACCCCAAAACCCAAGCATAACTGTAGTTTAGGTCCACCTCACTGTCAAAGATTAAGATCAGAGCTACAGAAATGATCTGCGCAAATACAGATGTCATGGTCCCCTCTAAAGTCTTTTTAGTTCCAGGCCAGCGGATCTCTCCCATGGTGCTGCCAAAGATGGAAGCCACAGTATCACCTACACCCACGGCCAGGACACCAGCATAAGGGACTAGGGCCCTCGCTCCCCCCAAGCTACCCTTCTGCGTACAGGGTCTGGGGACCAGCCAAATGGGAAGAGACATGCCCAGGAGCAGGTAGATGTGGGTCAGGATGAGTGGCCCGCTGTCTCGCTCATCCAGGAAAAGGGACAGGAGGCTCCGCAGAGTGTGGCCCAGGGGCTTGATGCGGAAGTAGCGCACATACTCCAGGAAGATGAAGACTGCCAGGCATACAGTGGCAGCCACATAGAGCAGTGGCCGATCAAAGATGATACCTGGGATGTAGGTGGCTACCACAATGAAGTGGAAATACTTTCGGGTGATGGTGGGGGCCTGGTGCTTCTTGGACTCAGAAGATGACCGCTTAGCATTCTGGTACAGCACTACCAGGCAGGCCAAGGTGGCCAGCAGAGACCAGTAGGCTAGGAGGTAGATGCGGGTGTCAGTCTGGAAGAGGAACTGAAGGAGCCAGAGCAAGGGGTTCCTGCGGATGAGTCGGTGCAGCCAGGGCAGGACCACGCCCAGGCCCAGCACACAGGTCATGAGGTGGAAGAAGATGGAGGAGGCCCAGGTACCTGAGTCCATGAAGACAAAGAGGATGCTGAAGAAGATGCCCATGAGCACCATCCCTACCACCACCACCAGCAAAAAGAAGTCCACCGGGTCCCCCTGGCCTTCCACCACAGTCAGAGAGCGCTTGATGAGCTGGTTGAGCACAAAGCTGATGCCACCTAATACCAGCACCGCCTCTCCAGGAGTGAAGCAGCGGGGCAGCAGGTACAGCAGGATCATGTTGAGGTACACGAAGATCAGAAGGACCTCTAGGACTTCGATCACCTCACCCACACTCAGCGAGTGTTTCATGATGTAAATGATGCCTCCTCCAGCCAAGCCCGAGATGACACAAGTGTTGGTGGGCACCGGGCGTGTGATGCCCAGTGCCAACACTGATGAGAAGAGGGCCACTGCCATCCCAGTGGCTGCCACGACAATGCCAAAGCGTTCAAAGTGGGGGTTCCCTGCAGCCTGGCAGCGTTCCTTCATGACCAGTCCCAGCAAAGGCATGACCATGGAGGCAGGCAGTAGTCCACTGTTAGCGGACATTCGGAACTGGAAGACAGCGCTTCCCTGCTGGAGCAGCCGGTCCCATTTGTATTGGACATAGAAGGCCTGCACTGCGAGGGCCACAGCGCACCACGAGTATCGGTCCCACACGGTCGCGTGAATGCTCAGCACCATGGCGAACACCACTGCCGCCTCTGCCAGGACCGACTCGCTCAGCGGAGCTCCCGTCCCCGGGGTCGGAGAAGCGCTATCTCGGGTCATGTCTCTACGCTTGAGGCCCCGGGAAAGCCGGGGTGACTAGGGACGCCTTGGATTCTTGACTCCTCAGCACCGCCAAGCAGAGGACGACAGCTTCACCCAGCCAGGAACCTTCTCCCTCCGTTCTCCAGCTTCGTGATAAGCTGCCCTGCAGGTCACCGTCTGCAGCCGGAAAGCTGGAGCCCCTCACACTTCTCCGCCTCCAATTTACGGCTTAGGCGTCGTCACTCGGGCGCCTTCCTCACGGGTGCGACCACTCTTGACGCGGGTTCCTCGCTTCCCCGGGCATCGCCATCTTGGCCCCGCCCCGTACCGAGGCCACGTGATGGAAGCCCCGCCCCACGCGTCAGGTAGTAGAAGAGCGGTCACGTGGGCGCCTCGTTTGGGTACTGGGCTGTGACGGGCGCGTGGGAAGATGGCGGGGGACGCTGGTGAGTCGTGTGTGGGGTGCGGTGCGTGCAGAGTTGTTGGAATTGGCCGTGAGGCGCGGGCTCGAAAGCAGGCAGAGGCGGGGCGAGAATTGGGAACGGGTTATGGCTTCGGTGACGGAGAAAAGCCTGGCTGAGTAGTCGGCGCCGAGACGGGAGGCGGTTTACGACCAAGCGGTCCCTCGCGCGGGGATATGAAGGGACTTCTCCAAGAGGAGGGCCGGTTCCTCACCTCATCCTTAAGTGGTGGGCCTCCCATCTCCTCACCCAAGTCCCTTTCTCTTCCCCTTTCCCCCCCGGCGTGTCTCTTGGCGCCCCACTCGCGCTTTCTCGTCTGGCCGTGACGCTACCTTTGGGCGCGAGGGGGCGCTTCGTGGTCGCCTGGAGGACGCTCTCCCTCCGGTCCGATATCCTCGCCGCCGCCTCCCTGTGACCTGTCCCGGGCCTTCCCTGCTTCCCAGGTTCTCCCCATGTGCTCTCTTGTTGCACGGAGCCACCTGCTTGTAGTTTCTGCTCTCTTTCACCGCTCAGCCTTTAATTCGCCCATTTATTTGTTTTTTTTAATGCATTGATTCAGTCAGCCGATATGTTCAAATCTTCCCAGAGATTCCAGGCACAGTGCTAGGCTCTGGGGACAAGAAGATGAAATAATAAAACGAAAGATAACAGCTCTCAGTATAGAGGGCTTGCTAGCGCCAGACACTGGTGAGGCGCTTTTGAATTATCATAACTTTGTGAGGCACCTTTTCTTTTACAGATGAGTCAGAAGTGCAGCTCAGCTAGCTAAGTAAGTGGTAAGGTGAGCATTGAAATCCGAGTCTGTTCGTCTCCAAAGCTGTAAGGAAACCATCACACCCCTATTTTCCACATTACACCTTAAAGAGGTGTTTTCCATTCTACTCCCTACCACCTTCCTTGGTAAAATTAATTATGTCGCTTATTATTCCCCGTGCCAACAATGTTTTCCCCACTTTTTTGTCGTGTTCACCACTCTATCGCCAGTACCCAGGAATAGTATGTAATAAGACATTAGCATTTATTACAAATATTGTCCGTTTTCTCTGGCATCACTTCTTTCACCACCCAGCTGGAAGTGAGATTTTGTCCTCTGGAATTTCCACTGGACTACATCTATGCCTTGTGAGGATCAGTTTGCTTTTTTCTCCCCAGTCGTTTCATGCCAACTCTTATACAGGACAGCATTGTGGCCACTGTGCCCTCCTTTTCTTAGGCGTATTTCATCGTCATTGTAGAGTATGGGTAAATGTTTGGCTCCTGTAGGGTAAACAATGTTCATTAAAGAAAAAGAACATGAGGAAGAAAGCATTGGTTTACCTGAAAGATGCTTTGATCTTCCTGGGAAACCTACCAAACTCATATTCTAAGAAGGAAGAAAGGACGTTAGAATTCCTAGACAATGTTTTGCTCATGGCTTGTATTAGGAGAGTGATGTTTCTTCTTGTGCCAGAAGTCACATTCATTAGTAGTTGGGATTATACTGAGCAGCAGTCCCATGTTTGAAATGCCTAGAGGTCTGGACTAAGAGAAAACTTAATTCTATTCCTGACTCCTCAGATTTGTAGATGACCTCAGACGAGTCACCTTACCATTTTGAGCCTGTCTCTCCAAATGCAAATCCTTTCCAGAGCAGTTTGAGGTGGTTATGAGTCATTTTTTTTTTTTAAGTAGGAAAAATCAAGGTGCATGTTAACATAAGCTGGCACTAGTAAAAAAATGGAATACTACTCTTAAATCAGTCTTTTGGGAAGGTCATTCAGGGATTGGCAGAAAGTCACTTTGAGTATTGGCATTTTTCTTATAACTCTTGTGTTTTTCAGTTAATGTGTTTGTGTAAGTCTGAATGGTGTGGGTGTGCTAAAAAAAATAAAACTGCAATTTGAAAAGCTTTTGCTGCTAAGCTTAAATCTCAGTTCATACAAGAGAGGTGTACCTTATCTGTGGAGTTAGAGCATCAATGGGAAGTGGCAGCTTTTATTTATTATCTCTGTGTGGAATATAACTGTATTTCTCAAAGGAACTATCTCATCAGGGTAGCATCCTGTGTCTCAGCTTCCTGTTAAAAGGACTGAATTGTAGAAACTATTATTTCTAACTCCCAGTAGCTTGTCGCTCATAGCCTTCCAATGAGATGGATCACCGAAGAAGATAATTTTCAGTCTGCATTAACTTCAGCTCTTGCAGGATGGAGTGACACGTTGTTTGCTAGAACATTGGACTGGAAATAGTAAAGTTTTTAAAACTTTACATTTGAATTTGAGGCAAGTTATTTAATTTCTGTGCCTTAGTTTCTCCCCCAGATACTTAGCTCAAAGGAGTATTGTGTAACTAAATGAGAGACATTAGCACATATTTAATTTCTTGAAAATACATCTAGAAGATACTTCCCTGAGTCTTTGGATGGACATTACAGTTCTAAGTTTCAGTCAAACCTTTAGGTCCCGATTCAGTATGAAGACTTTTGTCAGTCACTGAATCGGTTCCCATTGATCCCTTTCCCAGTGATCCCTTTCTTCTCTGACTTCTGTTCTCTGTGGTTATGTTTCTTTGTAGTCTGTTAGTATCATGCCCTTGAGTACTTTCTTGCTTTTTGTTGATTGTGTAATGTGAATGTAATGTACTTTGAGATTTTCATCACTTAAGCTTATGAGCATCATGAAGTTCTTAGATTTATTTGTATCCCCATTATTCCCAGGCCAATGAGTATGCAGGAATCGAGGAACCAGTAAGACTTATTTCCATAGATTCCCTTCCTGATAAATTTCACTATTTTCTGCTTTGTTCTGCCTTCTCTTGGCACTTCTGCATATATGGTTTTTCTTAATTTTTCTGTTACAATTAGATTGCAAGCCTAGAAGGGACTCATTTCATTCCCTTTCTTTGACATTTATTCATTCAAAAATCTGTGCCAGCCACTATGTTAAGGGTATGGTCTGCCATTGTCGAACAGACCGCTTCACCTCAGTTGGCATCTTTGCTTGCTGGCAGGATGAATTCTTGGGTGCAGCCTGGAGCAGTGAAATGTAATAGTTAAGCTCTGGAGTCATGCAAACCACCTGGGTTCAAGCCTTGGCTTCATTATAGTATATTAACTGTATGACAGACAAGTTACTTAACCACTTTTAAGCCTTAGTTTCCTGATGAGCTAATGGGGACAACAACAATATTTACCTCATAAAGAAGCTGTCATTATTCAATAAGACAGTGTGTCTGACATATTATGAGGTATTGTTAGTTCATTGGTATAATTCTCACCTTCCGTGCAGGAGACTTGGGTTCCGTTCCTTTCCAGTGCACCTCTTACGCAACCACCACCCTCTGTCAGTGGAGGCTTGCGTGTTGATATGACGATGAACCCTTTTCAGCAGAGCTTCTAGACTAAGATGGACTAGGAAGAAAGCCCTGGTGATCTGCTTCTGAAAATCAGCCAGTGAAAATCCTGTGGATCACAATAGTCTGATCTGACACTTGATCATGGGGATGGTGTAAGACCAGGCAGCGTTTTGTTCTGTTCTGTGTGTGGCCATCATGAATTGGGCGCCAACTCGACAGGAGCTAACAACAACAACTGACAATTACACAATAAATATTTACTATTCTTGTTATTAAAACCTCATTTTCAGTAAGCATTATTTTTTCACACCTTAAAACAAAAAGACCACCACGTGACATAGTTTTGCCAATAAGAATTTAGTTTCTTTTTTTTTTCTTTTGAGTATTGAATATAAAGTTGCTGCTTTACTCCAGGGTAGTGGTTTCTAGTCTTATTTAGTAGCAGAATCTTCTTCTCAAAATAAACCCCAAACTAACATACCAAACAGATAAAAAGCAGAGAGAGTCTATAGTCCTAAGTCTTTGCCTGCTCCTCTGAGGCTGATTGATGACGTGGAGTAGTGGTGATTTAGGAACTCATTTGGGATACTTGTTATAGAGTGTGGATTCCTATGCCCCCACCTCCAAGAAAGAGTAGCTCTAGGTGGTGACCATGGTTCTGCAGTGTTCGTGCATTGTCCACCACCTGATTTTGCTGTAGGTGGACTGAGAACTAGATTTTGAGAAACACCTTTGTTATTATTATTATTATTAATTATGCTTTTTTATTGTGCAAGTGTTGGTGTAACAAATACCCACAGCTTGAATTTGAGGAAAGAAGGAATTCTGGATCCTGGCAGCTGGTTCTTGAATGTGGGTAGTGGTCTTCTCAGCATCTTCTCAGTTTTTTCTGGGAATCACTACTAGCTATCTAGTTACAGGTCTAAGTTCTGAAAGCAAATGCTGGTAAATTAAAGCTTATCGATTCCCAGGCTTTTTGAAATTGGAAGATGGATGATCAAGAGAGAGAGTGACTTAGCTTAGGCATACAAAACCTTCAATCGGTGATAAATCTCTTTCCATTAATTTTGATGTACTGTTAGCCACAGTATTAGTGTTATATAATAGGTGTCTAATGAATTTTGTGCAAATGGAAGCTATCCTTAATAAAGTAAAAATGTATTTCGTTTTAAGTAAAGCCTTTCATTTTGGCTAATCCAGATTTATCAGGCAAATAAGTTAGATAATTATTCCCTTTACAGAAGGTATTCATTAAAAGATTTTGCTGTACGTACATTTCTTTAAACAGTGAGCTTGCCTCTATCTTTTTAATTACTTATGGCTTGAGTTACTCATACCTTTTTACATACACATTATCAGTAGAAAGGGACGTCTGTTTCATTAACTGGATCTAATCTCCTAATTATTTTTGAACAGTGAATGCTGTCTTTTATCAAGAAAATTATTAGTGGTTCCAGTGTTCAGTTGTGGGGGTTGGTGACTATTAATTCAACAAAATTGATGTTGTTTTCTTAAAAGCATTAACCTTTGTAAATAAATTTTTAATTTTTAGGTGTGTTTTAGTCTCCTTTGATGGGAAAAACCTGAAAGATGATTTTTAAATAGATAGAACTAGTGCTTTTACAATCTTAGTGGGTGTCTTAGTCATCTAGTGCTGCTCTAACAGAAATACCACAAGTGGATGGCTTTAACAGAGAAGTTTATTCTCTCACAGTCTAGTAGGCTACAAGTCCGAATTTAGGGTTTCACCTCCAGGGGAAGGCTTTTACTGTCAGCTCTGGAGGAAGGTCTGTGTCATCAGTCTTCCCTCGGCCTGGGAACTTCTCTGCGCAGGAACCTCAGATCCAAAGGACGCGCTCTGCTCTTGGCACTGCTGTCTTGGTGGTATGAGGTTCCGATGTGTCTCTGCTTGCTTCTTTCTTTTATATCTCAAAAGAGATTGGCTTAAGACACTATCCAATCTTGTATACCTCATCAGTATAACTGCCGCTAATCCATCTCATTAGATCACAGTGATTGAATTTACAACACATAAGGAAATCACATCAGATTACAGAATGGTACACAACTATACAATACTGGAAATCATGACCCAGCCAAGTTGACAGATATTTTTGACGGACATAATTCAATCCATGACAGTGGGGAAAACACTTTTCACTTTATACTCATAGTTACACAGCTTGCATTCCTTTTGTAGAGACCTTTTGGTATAGTCTACCAGGACCTTTTCATTTTTTCTATGTGGATAGGCTTTCTAAGCAGTGTTAATTATTTTAGGTAACTATTCTAGGAGCAGGACCGGGCAGTGTTTCATTCTGTTGTATATAGGGTCACTGTGAGTTGGAACCGACTCAGCAGCACCTAACAGCAGCAACGATTCTAGGTACTGATTTAGGATCTCACAAAATATAAGCCTATCCTTTTTATAACTCTTGAGATTATTTCTTTTTTAATTTATTTTTTATTGTGCTTTAAATGAAAGTTTACAATTCAAGTTAGTTTGTCATACAGAAATTTATACACATTGTTATGTGACCCTGTACAGTGACAACACACTCCACCTTTCCACCCCAGATTTCCTGTTTCCATTTAACCAGCTTCTGACCCTCTCTCCCTTATCATCTTGCCTCCGGACAGGAGCTGCCCCTTTAGTCTCATGTATCTACTTGAGCTAAGAAGCACAATTTTCAGAAGTATCATTTTATGTCCCATAGTCCACTCTAATCTTTGTCTGAAGAGTTGGCTTTGGGAATTGTTTTAGTTTTGGGCTGACGGAGAGTCCAGGGGCCATGTTTTATGGGGTCCCTCCAGTCTCAGTCAAACCATTAAGTCTGGTCTTTTTACTAGAATTTGAGTTCTCCACCCCACTTTTCTCTTGCTCCGTCTGGGACTCTGTTGAGTTCCTTGTCAGGGTGGTCATTGGTGGTAGCTCGGCACCATCTAGTTCTTCTGGTCTCAGGATGATGGAGTCTCTGGTTTATGTGGCCCTTTCTGTCTCTTGGGCTAATAGTTTCCTTATGTCTTTGGTGTTCTTCAGTCTCCTTTGCTCCAGGTGGGTTGGGACCAATTGATGCATATAAGATGGCTGCTCACTAGCTTTAAGACGCACCAAAGTGGGATGCAGAACATTTTCTTAATAAACTGTTATGCCAGTTGACCTAGATGTCCCCTGAAACCGTGGTGCCCAGACCCCCACCCCCGCTACTCTGTCCCTCGAAGTGTTTGGTTGTATTCAGGAAACTTCTTAGCTTTTTGTTTAGTCCACTTGTGCTGACTTTCACTTTAGTGTGTGCTATCCTTCCCTTCACCTAATATAATTCTTGTCTAGTATCTAGTTAGTGAATACCCCCTCCCTCACTCCCCACCCTAGTAACCATCAAAGAATGTTTTCTTCTGTGTTTAAACCTTTTCTTGAGTTCTTATACTAGTTGTCTTATACAATATTTGTCCTTTTGTGACTGACTAAATTCACTCAGCATGATGCCTTTCAGATTCCTCCATATTATGTTTCACGGATTCATCATTGTTCTTTATCGTTGTGTAATATTCCATTGTGTGAATATACCATAATTTGTTTATCTGTTCGTCCGTTGATGGGCACCAAGGTTGTTTCCATCTTTTTGCTATCGTGAACAGTGCTGCAGTGATCATGGGTGTGAACGTAAGTGTTTCCTGAAATTCTAAAGGCATGAATAAAGGAAGGAACTGGAGTAAGTACTTGGTGTATTTGAAGAGCTCACTGAGGGCAGGGGCTCTGTCTAATATGTGTTTTTTATCTCGTGTCTAACATTGCATGTCATACCTTGTGGGAGTTCATTAATAAGGGGATGAACACTAGTACTGTTCATGACTGTTAGACTTTACTTGATTGAGAAAACGAATTATACATTTAAAAAAAATTCTGGAGGTCAAGGTAGCCCTGAAATGTACCTAATTGTTTTCTTCTTTATTAGTCACTGCATTGTAATGAGAAAGCCAAAACCCAAACACGCTGCCGTTAAGTCGATTCCGACTCACAGCTACCCCATAGAGTTTCCAGGGCTGTAACTCTTCATGAAAGTAGACTGCCACATATTTCATATCTTTCTCCCAAGGAGTCGCTGGGGGTTTCCAACCTCTCACCTTTTGATTAGCAGTAAATTGTTTTAACCGCTGCCTCAGCATCACCTCTGTAATGAGAAAGAGAGAGATGAAATATTAAATTGAGCTGCCTTCTTAGCAGAGAAGTCTTACTGCAATCCTAGGATACACATTTTTTCACACTTTTAATTATCTCTGAAATCAGAGTATGTCTTATAATTGATGAATTGTTACAGCTTATTAGCATCATAGGTATCCTGGTGGTGCAGTGGTTAAGCATTCGGCTGTTAATCAAAAGGTCAGAGATTCAAATCCACCAGCCGCTGCACGGGAGAAAGATGTGGCAGTCTGCTTCTATAAAGATTACAGCCTTGGAAACCCTATGGGACAGTTCTGCTCTGTGCTGTAGGGTCTTTATGAGTTGGAATTGAGTTGATGGCAATAGGTTTGGTTTGGTTTTTATTAGCAGCATTTTTTCTTAGCACACAAACAGTGATATTTCTTGCAATTAATACATCTTAGGTGTGGTGAACTGTGGTGGCCATCCTCATTTTTTAATACAATACCTGACTGATTTAGGTTAACATCTCATACTTTAGTTTTTTAATTTTTATTTTGAACATCAAATTCCTAAGAACAATATAACAGGATTACTTTTCCAAAATTTTAACAAATTGTTTTGTATATTGAGTGTTTTGCTTCAGGATGGTAGACAGAATAGCTATGAGGCAGCTTAGTCAAGTCTGTAGAGTCTAAAAGAGCAAAATTACCTCTTTGCTGTCTCTTAGTTTTCAGGAGCAATAGAGAACTGGGCAATTCAGCTTGGAAGGTCAGCTCGGAGAGACCTGGTAAGTGGTGGCGTTCTTGAGTGGATTCATATGTTTTTTTGTGTAGCTTAAACATTACCAAAAAACCTGCCTTCTCTTTGAAGTAGGAAGTAAAGATATTTTTTATTCCCCAAACTGGGTAAACATGCATTCCCTTCATCTCTCTGCTGAAATCAAGATACATCTTATAGTTTAGCTGCTGAAGTTTTCTAAATTTCTACCTTTCTTTGTACTTTAGTGATTCCTTTCCTGAAAAGTTACCAGTGCTGCTTCATTGGCTGCTAAGGGTAGGGGTACAAATACCATTCTGTTACCTCAGGCCAAGAAAGATTCTCAGGTCTTTTCTCTGTCTCATACTGTACTTGGTCTTTTCTTCCTTTTCCATTTAGGCTGGCTAGTTGGCTAGCTCCTTTAGGTCATAGAGGCTGTAGTTTCTAAGATAATTCCAAGTATATAGTCATTAAAGGGCAGTTCTTTATGTTGCTCCTCAGATATTCTGACCCTGTGAGGTTAAAGTGTTGTGATAACATTCAGTTATTAACTGTGGTTCTTATTATTGTAATTAACCTAATGAATGCTATACTCTTTAGACCCTTCACATTTTTTGATATGCCTCTTCTAGAAGTGTATCTTAAGAGAAATTCTGAAAAAATTTTGTGCACAAGGTCTGAATGTTAGACAGTCAGCTTATGTGTGTCTAACATTGGAGGAATGGTGAATAAGTTATAATCTAGCCACTTGGTAGAAATTATGTAACCGCTAGAAAGTATGTTTATCAAGATTTTCATAAAAACAAGGTTAAATTGTTATGTTATAATGTTAAGCATAGAAAAGCAAGCTACAGAATTCTATATTCAAAATGATTTCAATTGTGAGGAAAGATGCATATTAAAAAGACTCAAAGGAATATGTAATCCTCAGTATGATCCTGGAGACTGATTAAAATTGCATTTGTATAATTGCCTTGTTCTTTTCCAGAATCAGATTGAGGCAGAACTGAAAAAACATTGGCAGCAGTTGTTAGAGGGGCTTTCCTCCTATAGACCTCCCGGGTATGGCTATTCCATGTATCTGTTAGAGAAATTCCCCTGAGGAAGCTGGCATAGATGAAGCCATCCTCATATATTTATGATATTGCTGGGTTATGTAGATCAAAGAGAATACAATTTGGTTATCAGTGGAAAAGAGTAGGGCAGATTTTTCTGTCTATTGAAAGAAAGAAAAATTTATTCTAGAAATACGGTATTGGAGAATTAAATTGTATGACCCTAGTGTCTGGGAGTGAGGATTTCTATATATTCAACTAATATTTTTAATATCATTTGGGGTCCACCGTGTTTATGTGAGACAATGTGAGCACTGAATACTGGGATGTAGCAATAAACAAAGATAATAGCAGCTGACATTTACATAGTGTTTCTATGTTCCAGTGATTAAGCACTTGACTGATATTAAGTCGTTTAATCTTCCCAACATCCCTTTGAGATAGGTACTATATTATTTTTTGGTGAATATATAGATTTTTTTATTGGGCTGTGAAAAATAAGCAATAATAAAATATAAAATAGTTAAAAAAGAAGAGAATACAGCTTGCAGAACTAGAAATTTGTTTTAATTCCTAGTCCGAATCTCATTCTGTTCCACACCACAGTTCCCAACCCTCCTTCATTTTTTTTCCTACTTCTGAACCTCTGCTGAAGTTACTACATTTTCACTTTCTGTTTTCACTCTCTTAAGTTAGTAAAGAACTTTTTTTTGTTCATCTAGTAACCCTTGTTGTGTAATTATTTTGAAGTAAATCCAAGGCATCATATGATTTTATCTGTAAATACTTCACTATATATCTAAAATATATGAACTTCAAAAAGGGAGGTAATTACTTTATTATCATATTTAGGTACTCTTATTATCATTGTTTCCCTTTTATAGATGGGGAAACCGAGACACAAAGAGGTTAAGTAACTTGCCTCAGGTGGCACAGCTAGTAAGTGGTAGAACCAGGATTTGAACCTGGTAGTCTTACTGCAGCGTCTGTGTTCTTAATCATCATTCTGTGTTGCCTCTTTTGGAACTTATTGTTTACTCCTATACTAGCCTTTATGTTGTGAATTTTCTGTGAAATGTAAGAGTCTCTTTTAAAAAAAAAATCCAAAAACAACAACAGCGTGCTTTAATTCACAGAATGGCCATTTGTGGCATTTAGTTTCTTTTTTAAAGAGAGAAATTCCCTTTAAGTAATACGGGATTTAAAGTCTGACAAACATGTTTTTGTTTTAAACTAAACTTCAGACTTTATTTGAATTTAACCATTTTTTTCCTTTAATGTCCTCTTTCTGTTCCAGGATCCAACCCAGGGTACCACATTGCATTTAGTTGTCATGACTCCTTAGTCTCTTCTTGGCTATGACAGTTTCTCATTCTTTCCTTGTTTTTCATGACCTTGACAGTTTTGAGGAGGATTGGTCAAGTATTTTTTAGAGTGCCCTCAATTTGTATTTGTCTGATGTTTTTCTCTGTATTAGACAGGGGTTATTGGTTTTTGGGTCAATACACAGAGGTGAAGCACATTCTTATCACATATCAGAGGTTACATGACAACCACATGAAATCACTGGTGATGTTAACCTCGGTCACTTGGTTAAGGTAGTGTTTGCCAAATTTGTTCTCTGTAAAGTTACTTTATTCTCTGCCCTGCTGCTCTGTTCCTTAGAAACGAGTCAGTAAGTGTAGCCCACCCTCAGTATGGAATGGTGCTGGTGGAATTAAATTCCACCTCCTGGAGAGGGTAGTATCTATGTATATTATTTGGAATTCTTCTGTAGGGAAGATTTTTTTCTTTCTCCCTCATTTTACTATTCATTTAATTATATGATACGGACTCATATATATTTATTTTATATATATTTTATATTTTGTTCCATCTCTGAAAATTGGGAGCTCTTTTAGGTTGCCTTCTGTGTCTTTTTTTTCTGTCAATTTTTGTTTATTGTACTTTAGATGAAGGTTTACAGAACAAATAGTTTCTCATTAAACAGTCAGTACGCATATTGTTTTTATGACATTAGTTAACAACCCCACGACATGTTAACACTCTCCCTTCTCGACCTTAGGGGACCTTTTTCTTTGGTGAAAATATACATAGCCAAAGTTACACTATTTCAGAAGTTTCTACATGTACAATTCAGTGACATGGATCACATTCTTCCAGTTGTGCTGCTGTTCTCACTATCATTTTCCAAATTATTCCATCATCATTATCTTCAACTCACTGCCTCTAGGCTTCCTATCAAACCTTTTGAGTTGCTGTTGTCAATATGATCTCCAATAGATAATCCTTTTCTTTTTGGTACCTTAGATGAAGGTTCGTGGAACAAATACTTTTTCATTAAACGGTTAGTACCTTCTGTGTGGTTTTGACATGTCTCCATCCTTTTGTTTTTTGAGCATTTATTTCCTAGCAGTATAAGATGCACCAGATTCATCTTGTTTTTTTCCCTGCGCCAGCCCTAGAATCAGCCATTTCTCCAAGGAGTGCTGGTACCTTTTATTGGAGAATGGTATTTAGAAACCAAGATCTGGATGCTGGAAGTGCTCGCTGCTACTAAGGTGTTTTAGCTTCTAGGCTATGTCAGTGGACAGAGGTAGTTAATATATGTATGTATACTAACAGACCTGGTTTTAAATTTCCACTCAACTTTTTATTAGCTGTGGGATTTTTGGTAGGTTATTTAATCTTTCTAAGTGTTGGTAATTCCACTTGTAAAATGGGGATAGTATTATTTACCTTTCAGGGTAGTTGTAAGGATCAGAAATAATTAATGTAACTTTATATACCTACAAATAGTAGATACTGTAATAATGATGGTTTGTAACAGACATATAGTATATTTATTACTTAGAAATAATCAGTTTGTGTTATAAAGTCTATAGAGTTGAACTTGTGTGTTTGTGTGTTTGTGTGTATGTGTGTGTGTGTGTGTGTGTGTGTGTGTATTTTTTAGGCACCTAAAATGCAAAAAAGGTCTGTAGTAAAAATATCAGTATTTTTATTTTAAACCCCTAGGTGGTTATTAAGAATGAGGAAATGATTCATTGTTCTTTTCATAGTCCAAGTTCAGCTGAAAAAGTGAAAGCTAACAAAGATGTAGCTTCACCACTGAAAGAACTGGGTTTAAGAATCAGCAAGTTTTTGGTGAGTAAAAATTAGAACTATCTCCGTTTATTACGTACATTGTGAATGTGCATGGTTCCATTGTTAGTGATTGTCAGTGAAAATTCAGTTTATTTTAGTTTTGAGCATTAAATTGAGCATGCTGTGCTTGAAAAAATATTCAATGTGGTTTTTAAGGTAACTAGTTTGTATTTAAATATATAGCTAATTGCTTTCAATTTTGGAAGCCCAGATCTTGCCTGCTGCTATATTAATAATGATCATGAATAAGCACATTTGTTTCTGGCATTATTGTACAAATTACATGTACGTTTTTCTCGTATTTGGGTTAAAATTATGCTATAAGAAATCTCTTGAAAGGACTTGTGTTTATTTAAGTCCTGTGTTCATTCCAGAGGACAAGTCTTCAGAATGCTTGGTATTCTGTGTATGATTTCTGAGCTGAGGTGGCTGTTCCTCACTTATAACCTGTGTATTTCAGGGTCTTGATGAAGAACAGAGTGTGCAGTTACTCCAGTGTTACCTTCAAGAGGATTACAGGGGTACTCGGGACTCACTGAAGGTTTGTGGTTATGTCCAGCTCCTTTCTACTGCCTTTATCCTTTTGCTTGTTGGTTTTAGATTTTTGCTCCAGTTTTTTGCTACAGGATTTTGCTACCAGTTCTTTGCAACAGAGGTAGGTGATGAGATATAGCCATTCTCAGGAAGGGCTTTCTAAAGGCTTGAAAAAACATGTATTTCAAGCTGAGGTCTGTCCTTAGACTTGGAGGAGTGATATCAGAGTTGAAAAGATCTTGAGAAACCATCCAGCCTGCCCAACCCCTCATTTTACATATGAGGAAATTGAGGCAAGAGGAGAGCGAGGGGATTTGAGCTCAGGTTTGGATATGCTTAGGTAAAAAATGTTTCCAGGAATGAATGGCAGTTTTAATCTTGAGGGATGAGATGATGATGTGTACCTTTGACTTTGTGAATTGAGTTTAACCTGTAAGGTGGCTTCTTGTCTGCTTTGTTTTCCTTCAGACGATACTACAAGACGAGAGGCAGAGCCAGGCCTTGATCCTGAAGGTCAGTAGTAGTCACCGTTTTCATTCTTTGATGTAAAATTGAGTGGCAGCTTTGTTCTCCCTGAGCATTGTTCACCATTGACTCTTTTGTTGGGTAAGCACTAAGGTCTTAGCAAAGACGCGTATTCACTCATTTATGAAATAGGAGGCTTTTTTCCATTGAACCTAGATGAGGAGTTTTACCAGAGGATGTTCTTCAGTCGGTAGTGCTGAGAACTGGGTCATGGATATTTTTTCTCTAGTTCTAAATCCAATAGGATTCATTTGTATTTCTTTATTCCTCTATCCCTTCTTCCCTCTTCCCCCAGCAACAGTTTCACTTAGAATCCCATTTTTAAATGGAATTTGACGATGGATACTTAAGTAATTTCCTATTTGGTATTTAGTGAGAATAAAATACATTAGTTTTTAGCAGTTAAGACATGTATCAGAGGTATTTTCATATTTGCTTTGATATATTTGGCCTGTCAGTTTATAACATTGTGTGTTACTTGAGTGCTCTGACTGAGAAATGATGCTACAGAACTTGTTTGGAAACTTGTTTATATTATTAAATAATAATTCCTTTTATCTTGCATGAATTAACTTATCCTGGTTTATGAAGGTGTTTTGCTTTCTTTTGGACTACCTCAATGTGTATCTGTTTCTGTGATTGCTTATATAAAGCTAACTTGTCACATCTTTAAGCAATTTCTTTACCAGCAAACTTAAAATTGAGTGTCTTCTGTGTAAAGATGAATAACTGATTTTGAATCTTTTGGTTCTTCTCAGATTGCTGATTATTACTATGAGGAAAGAACCTGTATTCTTCGTTGTGTTTTACACCTTCTCACATACTTCCAATATGAAAGGCACCCCTACAGGGTAAGCCCATTTAGGCCTCTTGCCTCTTTGTGCTCTATCATTGAGCCCTTTGTAATAATTCTATATTATTCATTTTCATATACTTTTGAATATTTACCTTTTACTCTAGGTATAACTTACTCTTGATTTTTTTAAGGTTGAATATGCAGACTGTGTCGATAAATTAGAGAAGGAGCTAGTTTCCAAATACAGACAGCAATTTGAAGAGCTTTATAAAACTGAAGCACCAACATGGGAGACACATGGAAACCTTATGGTATGTGCCCTCCTGTAATCCTTAGGACTGATGAACAGAGCATAATAGAAAATCTAGAAGTAGACCCAAAGACTGATAGGAAATGAATGTATGATAAAGGTGACATTTCAGATCAGTGGGGAAAAGGTTGGATTATTCAATAAATGGTGTTAAAACTACAGGGTAACCATGTAGAAAAAAATCTAGCTGTATCTCTAATTACTACTTTCTACCAAAATAAAATTTAGATATATCAGTGATTAAAATTAAAAACAAACAAAGCAAATACAACTGTTAAGGCACTGAAGGAAAATATGGGAGTTTTTGTTTGTTTTTGATTGGGAGAGGTCTTTTTAAGTAAACCTCAGAAGCCATAAAAGAAGAAAAAAAAAGAGATAAATCCAGCAGCATCAAATAGAAAACCTTTGCAAGATAAATCTCCCCAATAATGCTATAAACAAAGTCAAAAGAGAAACTCATATCAAAAAGGGCTGATACCCTTGAAATGTAAGGAACTCTTAGAAATCAAGTAGTAGAAAACCAATAGCCCCAGAGAAAAAAGGGCCAAAGCAGTAAACAGATTCACATAATAACACTCTTGCCCAAGGGATGGGAAAATGGGTACTCTCATATTTTGCTGTATAGGTATAAATTGGTACAACTTTTAATATAAATTATGACAGTATCTGAAAATAGGAAAAGCACACATCTTTTGACCCTATAGTTCCTTTAGGAATTTATCCTACAAATACATTCATACTTATGTGAAATGAGTTATATAAATGACAGATCTATAGCATTCTCCCACACCCCAGCTTTATTAAGGTATAACTCACATCCAGAATTCATTTATTTTAAATGTACAGTTTGATGAGTTTTGGCAGTTGTATGCAGTTATGTGCAGTAAGCACCAGCATGATCAATATATAGAACATTTTACCCCAGGAAGTTCCCTCATGCCCCTTTGTAGTCAATGTCTGACCTCTGCCCCAAGCAACCACTAATCTGCTTTCTGTCACTATAGTTTTACATTTTTCAGACTTTCATATAATTTGAATCATACAGTATATAGTCATTTCTGTTTGTCATCTTTCACTGAGCAGTGTTTTTGAGATTCATCCATGTTGGAGCATGTAACAGTACTTCATTCCTTTCTATGGTTGAATAATATTCCAGGGTACAGATTTACCAGTGTTTGTTTATACATTGATCAACTGATGGACATTTAGGTTGTTTCCATTTTTTGGCTGTTATGAATAATGGACTGTGAACATTAGCATATGGGCTTTTGTGTAGACATCGGTTTTCATTTATCTTGGTTAGATACCTATATCTTCATTAATCTCTGCTCCTTCATATTTCTGTTTACTTACTTTGGATTTAATTTGGTCCTTTGCTGATTTCTTACGGTGAAAACTTAGTTAATTTTAGATCTTTTCTAATAAATAACTATAAATTTTGTTTCAAGCATTGCTTTCAGCTGCATCCCATGAATTTTTATGTATTGTATTATCATTATCATTATTCAGTTCAAAATATTTTCTAATTTCCCTTGTGATTGGTTTTAATCATGTGTTATTTAGAAATGTGTTGTTTAATTTCCAAACATATGACATTTTCCTAAATAGCTAATTGTTATCAATTTCTAGTTTGATTTCAGTTGTGGTCATAGAATATACTTTATATAATTTCAGTCTTTTAAAATTTACTATCCTATGGTTTATGTTTGAACGTATGATCTGTCTTGGTGAATGTACCGTGTACAGTTGAAAAGAATACGTATTTGACAGTAGTTGGGTGTGGTGTTCTATAATATTAGTCTTGTTAGAGTTGTCCAGATCTTCTGTGTCTTCACTGATTTTTTGTCTCATTTTTCTATCAGTTGTGTGGCATTGATTTCAATGACAAAAGATTGGTAATTACCTAAACGCCATCCAGGTAGGCTGGTTAAAATAAATTATAGCATTTCCATGCAGTGGAATAGTATGCAATATTAAAAATTATGAGGGATCTGGCTGCATGATTTATGGTGTATGCATGCGGTAAATTACTATACAGCTATAAAAAGAATAAAAAATAAGAAAATTCTTTATATACTGTTATTGGAAAAAATCTTTAAGATATATTGTTAAGTGAAAAAAGCAAGATGCAGAGTAGTTTGTGCAGTATATTATTTGGTTTAGAAATGGGTAGATAGATAGAAAGGAAGGAAGAAAGAATGAAACTATGTTTTTTAACCTCACTTTATTTCTCTTTTTCTTTTTGTTTTTTCTTCATTGGTTGTGCAGACTGAGCGCCAGGTGTCTTGCTGGTTTGTTCAGTGCCTTCGGGAACAGTCCATGTTGCTAGAAATTATTTTCCTTTATTATGCCTACTTTGAGATGGCACCTAGTGACCTATTGGTATTAGCTAAGATGTTTAAAGAACAAGGATTTGGTAGCAGGCAGACCAACAGGCACCAACCTGGTGGATGAGACCGTGGATCCTATTGTGGATCGGATTGGGGAAGTCAGAATGAATTGAAGGTCACAAAACTTGTACAATGTTTAGAACATTGATACTCCTGTGGTTATGTGAGTGAGTGAGAATGAGATAGCTTTGCCATATTGACTGGCCACACTAATGGATGGGGAAATGGATGAGTGTACTACCATGTTTCATTCAGGTCATACAGGGTGTAAAGGCTGGTATTGAGAGGGACATGTTCTCTCAAAATGCATGTTATATTCTGCTCTTTTACTTACTGTCTTCATCTAAAGCATCCATCCATTCATTCCACAAAAATTTGTTGAGCATCTGTTGCAGGCCACTGTGCAAATACTGGTGACAGTGATTAGTGAGCAAGGCAGATGTGTTCCTTGCCCTCTTTGGGGTCATAGGCTGTCAAGTTTCTTATATTTTTCTCTGTTTATGGCGGTGGCTGTATCCATGTTTTGGGGTCTGTTCTCTCTGTAAAAGAATCCCTGGTGGTAGTGGTTAAAGCACTTGGCTGCTAACCGAAAGCTTGGTAGTTGGAACCCACCAGTGGCTCCATGGAAGAAAGATGTGGCCGCCTACTTACGTAAAGATTTAAGCCTTGGAAACCCTATGGGGCAGTTCTGTTCTGTTGTGTAGGGTCATTTTGAGTCAAAATCGACTCAACGGCAACAGGTTTGGTGTCTCTGTGAGCAAAGATACACGCATAAGAGGTGAGACGATTTACCTGGGTCAGGTGTGATTGGTGGCTATAGAAAGCTTTAGTACCAGATCTGTGCTGTCCGATATGGTAAGCACAAGCCACATGTGACTATTGAGCAATTGAAATGTGGTTGGTTTGAATTAAGATGTGCTGGAAGTTTAAAATACTGGATTTCAAAACTTAGTACAAAAAACAAAAAGTAAAATATCTCAATAACTTTGTTGTTATTGAAGTGCCTTATTCTCACTTTATTCTCCAGTGATGTTCATAACAGCGATTATGACACTGTGGTACTGTTTCTCTTTCCAGCTACTTCAGTGCCCTTATTCTGGTGGAAGGCATGGATATCGAGTCCCTGCACAAGTGTGCTTTGGATGACAGAAGAGAACTGCACCAATTTTCCCAGGATGGGCTTATTTCTCAGGTGAACTTGGAACAGCCTCTTTGCTTTTGGGGATGGTTGATAGTTAGTAGTATGTTGTTAACCACTTGGTTACGTAGAGTTTTCATTGTTGTGGAATTTGAGGTTCTACATAATTAAGCAGTTAGTTGGATCTGAAAGAAATCTCGGATTTGTCAGTCAGTCATCTACAGAGGTTATAGTTTAATCTGTGAGAGCGAGAGGAGCCTCATGCAGATAGTGGAAGGACTAAAGAGGACCAAGGACAGAACCTTGGGGATTGTCTGCCTGTATGGGGCCTATGAAAGAAAAGGAAAGGGGAAGGACATTGAGATGGGATGGGTAGAAAGATAGAAAATGAGGAGATAATCATGGAAAGTTCAAGAAGGATCAGGGTCAGATTTCCTAAGAGTCTTCCATTTGAACATGTATTTTATAATCTTAAATTGACACCATTTAAAAGCAGAAAATAAAATTATGGTTAAATGGAAGAGGATTTTATTAATGTGGTGGCTGGGATTTTGAGCAGAGTAAATAAAATGTCCGATTGGGAGAGAGAGGCTAGTAGAGATGAGTGAAAGGCTTACTGAGTATGATGAAGAATCTTGTTAAGGAGTCTTGAGCCTTTCTGTTCAATGACACAGATGGTGTTCTCTTTCTCAATATGATATGGACCTTTTGATGTTGACCTTTGGGGACATTCCACTTCATGCTCCGGTGCTTTTGGCCTGGACTGTCCTCCGTCACACCCTGAACCCAGAAGAGACAAGCAATATTGTCCGGAAGATAGGTGGCAAAGCCATCCAGCTCAGTGTATTTCAGTACTTGACCCGGCTCCTCCGGTCACTTGCCAGTGGGGGAAATGATTTAAGTCCAACACTGCTGGCATGTGAGTATGAGAATGGGCAGAGAGCGGGCATAACGTCGTTAATGAGCCATTGTAATAGTGATGTGGATAATGTTTTTACTATTATTTATGGAGCATTTAATATGACCAGATACCGTACTCAGCACTTTCTATACATTATTTTATTTGATCCTTTTAACACTGTTTTTGTTTTTAATTGTGCTAAAATATACGTAGGTAGTCCTCGACTTACCATTCTGATGGGGTTCTGATCATAAGTTGAGTACATCTTTTAGTTTTCATTATTATTGCCTTTTATCATCAGTATCTTCATAAATCTGAGTTTTCTTTGTCTTTGGGGGTTGGAAACATTACAGCAAACATCTGTGAATGAATACCTGAGAAAGATAACAGCAAATTACGTGCTACAGCATTGTTTGTAGTACATATTACTGTACTAACAATAAGATGTACCTGCCCCCCCCAAAAAAATTTGGTTTTAAGTGCAATTTGTCATAACTCGAATACGTAGTAAGTTGGGGACTACCTGTATAACAAAAAATTTGCCATTTTAACAGTGCACATTACTGGGGAAGCCAGCACAGCTTGTACAAGGAAAGGTCATGGAAGCTCCATAGATACTTCCAAACTCCCTGAGGGACTGAATTGCTGGGCTGTGCGGACCATAGTCTTGGGGAACATCTAGCTCAATTGGCATAACACAGTTTATAAAGACAATGTTCTACGTTCTACCTTGTTGAGTAGTGTCTGAGGTCTTAAAAGCCTGGTCTCAACCCTTTGGGAGCAAGGGAGAATGAAGAGAACAAGATAGAAGGAAAAGATTAGTCCAAAGGACTAATGGACCACAGCTACCAAGGCCTCCACCAGACTGAGTCCAGTAAAGCTAGATGGTGCCTGGCTACCACCACTGACTGCTCTGACCGGGATCACAATAGAGGGTCCTGGACAGAGCTGGAAAAGGATGTAGAACAGAATTCTAACTCACAAAAAAAGACCATATTTACTGGTCTGACAGACTGGAGAAACCCTGAGAGTATGGCCCCTGGACACCCTTTTATCTCAGTGGTGAAGCCCCTCCCAAAGTTCACCGTTCAGCCGGGGTTTGGACAGCCTCGTAAAACAAAACGGGACTAATGAGGCACAGCAGTCCAGGGACAGGGACTAGAAGGTAGGAGGTGACAGGAAAGCTGGTGATAGGGAACCCAAGGTTGAGAAGGGACAGTTTTGACATGTCATCGCATTGTTAACCATTGTCATTGGGCAATATGTGTACTGTTTAATGAGAAACTATTTGTTCTGCAAACGTTTCTCTAAGGTACAAAAAAAAAAAAAAGAATTATCTATGTGAGATCAAATTGACAACAGCAACTCAAAAGGTTTGATGGGAAGCCTAGGGAACAGTGAATTGAAGATAATGGTGATGGAATAATTTGGAAAAGGATAGTGAGAATAGCAGCACAACTGGAAGAATGTAATCGATGTTACTGAATTGTACATGTAGAAACTTTCAAAATGGTGTAACTTTGGCTATGCATATTTTCACCAAAAAAAGGGTCCTCAAGGTCGAGAAGGGAGCGTGTTGACATGTTGTGGGGTTGTTAACAAATATCATAAAACAATATGTGTACTGACTGTTTAATGAGCAACTATTCTGTAAACCTTCATCTAAAGTACAATAAAAAAATTTTAAAAAAAATTTGCCATTTTTTAAGTGTACAATTCAGTGACATTAATTACATTCATTAAGTTGTACAGCCCTCACCACTATTTATTTCGAATAGTTTTTCATCCCTCCAAACAGAAACTCAGTATCCCTTAAGTAGCTGCTCGCCATTTCCCCCTTCCCCAGCCTTAGTAACCACTTTTGTCTCTATGCATTTGGCTATTCTAGATATTTTATGTAAGTAGGATTGTACAATATTTGTCTTTTTGTCTAACTTATATCACTTAGCGTAATGTTTTCAAGGTTTATCCATGTTGTACTGAATAATATAACTCCTTTTTGTGTTAGGGATTATTATCCTTGTTTTGCAAATTAGGAAATTGAGACTCAGATGTAATTTACCTCAGCATAACAGTAACAGCTAGTAAGTGGCAGATGGGTATAGTTTGAACCAGTTATGTCTGACTCTTAGCCAGTATGCATACTCCTAGAAGACAGCTTTGACCACATTGACTGGAGAAATCTTTTGGGGGACTTACTTATTCAACTCTAACAGGACGAATTAGAAATTCTCATGAGTCTTTTTGTTTGTTTGTTTATTGTTGTAGTTTAAGTGAAAGTTTACATTTCAAGTTAGTCTCTTACACAAAAGTTTATGCATACATTGTTATGTGACCCTAATTGCTCTCCCCATACTGTGACAACACATTCCTCCTTTCGCCCCGATTTGCTATGTCCGTTCAACCAGCTCTTAACCCTCTCTGCCTTCCCATCTCACCTCTGGACAGGAGCTGCCTGTTCAGTCTCATGTATCAACTTGAGCTAAGAAAGAAGCACACTCTTCACGAGTATCATTTTATGTCCCACAGTCCAGTCCAATCTTTGTCTGAACAGTTGGCCTCAGATATTGTTTTAGTTCTAGGCTGATTGAGAATCCGGAGGCCATGCTTTCCGGGGTTCCTCCAGTCTCAGTCAGACCATTAAGTCTGGTGTTTTTACTAGGAAATTCTCTTGAGTCTTGTAGTAGGGCTTAATTTGAGTGGCACGGTGTAGTCTGCTTTAAAGTGCTAAAATGAAACCTCAGCCAACAGGCCCCACTTGCTGTCACTGGTTGATTTATCTAATAGCAGTTTGGGCATTTGCATCAGCACATAGATAGACAGTTCTTTCTCTAGGCTCAATATGGTTTTCTTTTTCCCCCACTCAAACTTTGATCATTTTTAAAGCAGTTTCTTTTTTATTTTTTTTTTACTATGTTGTAATATTTATGGTTCCTACCTTCTCTTTTTTCCCTTTGCCTTCCTGATCTTGGAACTAAATTAGGAAAATTATAAGGATTTGGATTCTCTTCCCGTTTATTTACTGGGACTATATTAATATATTAAAATTAGGCTAAATCTGTGAAGAGTTGTGTTACTCAGAATTATTCACTGACTCCTTTGCTGTTTCAGTGCACCACCAGCACCGCGTGCATGTGTGTCTATGGACTCCTTTCCTTCGTTCTGACCTCGCTGGAGCTGCACACTCTGGGCAATCAGCAGGTCAGTGTCTGGCTTTCTTGAGGCAGCCTACACAGCCCAGCTTTACAATCATCGCCCTAAAATACCCTCTTGAAGCTGATATTCTTTACCTCAGTGAGGTGCTAAGTTGGTTATTGCTGTTCATTTTCACTTATTGTATTATCAAGTGATTCATGTTAATTGTAGAGAAATTAGAAAATGCTAATCAGAAGAAGAAAGTGTAATCTCACCACACAGGATAAATTGTTACTGTTTTGATATGTTCCCTTCCAAACATTTTCTGCACATACAGATAAAAATAAAGTAATTTTTATGGGATCACAGTGTATGTACTGTCTTCTAACCTAATTTTTTTACTCTGTAGTATATATGTCGCAATCATCTGTGAATGCTAATAAATATTCTCCTGTAACTTTTGAAAAAATGAAATATTTCAAACTTATACTGAGGTAGATAGAATTGTATAATAAACTCACTTGATCCCATCACCAGCTTCTAACAATTATCAGCTCTTGGCTAATCTTATTTGATCTCTGCCCCTCCCCACCTTATTTTGAAGCAAATCCCAGACAGCATTTAATTTTGTCTGTGAATGTTTGACTAAAGTTTAACTTGACACCATTATCACATCTAAAAAAATAATTTATCTTCAAATATCAAATTTCCCCTTGTCTCATAACCAGTTCAGTTTTGACTCATGGCAGTCCTATGTGTGTCCGATTAGAACTGTGCTCCAGAGGATTTTCAGTGGCTGATTTTTTGTAAATAAATCGCCAGGACTTTCTTCCAAGGTGCCTCTGGGGAGACTCAAACCTCCAGCCTTTTTGGTTAGCAGCCATCGAGTTAACCATTTGCACCACGCAAGGACTCAGTTGTCTCATAAACATCATAAATTTATCATAAGTTTATTTGTTTGGATCAGGATCCAGATAAAGTCCACTTATTGTAGTTGGTTGATACATCTTTCAGGTTTCTTTGTCTATAACTGCACTGTCTACTAGGGTAGTCAGAAGCCACATATGACTAAATTTAAATTAACTAAAATTAAAAACTCAGTTCCGTAGTTACACTAGGCACGTACAAGTGCTTCAGTAGCCATATTGGAGAGCACAGACATAGAACATTTCCATCGTCTGAGAAAGTTCTATTGAACAGTGCTAATCTCTAAGTTCCCCCTTTGTTTTTATATATCCTTGCAGTTTTGTGGTTGTTGAAGAAGAAATTAAGTCATCTCTCCTAGAGAATATTCCATGTTCTGGATTTTGCTGATTTTGATCCCTGTGGTGCTGTTTAACATGTTCCTTCCTCTTCTGTGTTTCCTATAAATTGGAAAATAGATCTAGAAACTTGAGCAGATAACTCAGGTTTGAGGTTTTTGGGTTTTTGTTGTTGTTTTAAAGCAAGACTGCTTCATAGGTCATGGTGTACCTTTCCATCCGGGAGGTATATAATATTTGGTTGTCTTTGTTTTTGTGGTATTTGCAGCCATTAGTGATCATTGTCTAGATTCTTTAGGGGTTGCAAAATGATCCCATTCTAGTTCTGTCTTTCCTCCTTTGTTTATTACTTTGAACATTTTTATAAGAAAGAAATTTTGCTCTCATCAGCTATTTGGTGCTCTAGGATAGAGCACTATACATGCTTTCTTTGTTTCCTTTATTTACTAGTTTTCCCTAGCACCCTCCAAAGGTCCCTAGCATGCTCCAAAGGTGGCTAGTGAGGTTTTTTGTTTGTTTGTTTGTTTGTTTTTGCATATATTTTAGCATGGATTTAAGTATTTTGTTGTTGTTATTGTGTGCCATTGAGTCAATTCCAACTCAGAGTGACCCTACAGAACGGGGTAGAACTGCCCCATAGGGTTTCCAGGTAGCGGCTGGTGGATTCACAATGCCAACCTTTTGGTTAGCAGCCTGAGCTCTTAACCATTTTGCCACCAGGGCTTCTTAAACATATTAGCTGTTGTTAATCCATTGCAGTTATTATTCTTATGCTCAGACAGTCCCATCTTTGGCCAGTGTGAGCTTTTTCAGATTGGTTTCTGACTTCTTTTGACACTACCCTAATATATTTTGATACCTCTATTGTTTTCTGGTAAGACAAAGTGTTACAGGGTTATCTTGTAGGATTCCTGCCCTAGACCTGAAATCTACCATTTCTCCAAAGAGCTCTGGTTCTTTTTTGTGGGAAATGGTATTTTTTAAGTATCCCTTGGCTTTCCCCAATGTCTGTGCCACACTCCCAGCTCCTGGCTCGTTTAGATGCTCCTTCTCTGCTCCCACAGCTCCCTAAGTTACCGCTACTGTAGTCCAATCACACTTTTCTCCCCACCCTTCCGATTTACCTTGTTCACTCTTGTATCCCCAGTTTTGAGCAGAGTGCCTGGCCTATAGTACATGCTCACTAAATGCTTTTTGGCTAATAGATGATGAATGGATTTTGTGTTTTAGTTGAGGTTGTGTGTCTGGGCAGAGACTGTGTCTTTGCCTAGACACAGCCCACCCCAGTACAGCTCATCTCTTGCCACGTCCCACCTCTAGACCTAGACCTAGCGAGTCTGAACCACTCAGCATTCTCTGGATGTCATGTTCTTTCCCCTCCAGGGAAGCCTGTGCTGTTTCTTTTGCCTGGAATGCTCTTCTCCAACCCTGTTCTCCCTCAGGAGTCAACTCAGGCAACACTTCCTCCAGGAAGCCTTCCGTGACCCTACTAGTCTGAGTCCTATGCCTCCGTGTTTCCATAGCTCCTGGATTTCCCCCACCAGACCCCTGGGCACTCAAGATTGTAATTGTTGACTTGGCATCTCCCCAGTAGACTGAGGTCTGGGAGGCAGGTATGCTGCCTGATTCTCTCCTGTCACCCCAGACCCTAGCCCAGGGCCTGGTACTGAGCAGGCACTCAGAAAACCTTGGCAGCACAGCAGGTAAATCTGCAGTCGTCACACACATTCCAGCTGACGGTGGCTTTCGCTTCCTTGTAGGGAGGCAGCTTCCATGGATCAAAGGGAATGCCAGGACCCTGCCCAGAAAGACGTGGGCCACCCTCAGCACCGACAGCCAACGCGAAGATAGCAGAGCCGTCCACTGGGTAAGGACTGGGCCCTTCCCCACCAGACTAGCTATGGCCTCTGTTCAGGTGCCTTCCCCAGCCTAGGGAGCAAAGGGCAACATCTTCGCTTCACAGTCCTTTGCTCTTCTCACTCTAGGCCAGGGATCCGGGACAGAGGTGGCGAAAGACAGAGTTCTTCCTCTGTCTCCCAACTCTGGCCAGCTGAGTAATGCTCTTTGAATACCAGTGTTAAGTTTCATTGTGAATCTCTGTTTTTTCTCCCTCACTCCAGATCTTATCAGGCGAGTTGCTAACCTGCTACCTTGTGATCACGTTTCCCAAGGTGTGTTCCGTGGAACACCAGTTTCTTTGGCCACAGTGGTCGCCTAACTCTGGGAAACAGCATCTTGTTGTTTTCCTTGCTGCAGGACTTTTCAGAGCCTTGAATGTGTTGAGATGAGCATAGTGAGTCTTTAACAGGGAGCTAGCAGATCAAGTTTCCTCACATTTATTTGATCACATAGACATGTTTGGAGACTGGGGTTCCTTGGCCCATCTTTGGAAAATGGTTCCAAAGGCAGGAGAGTGCACTGGTTATGATCCAGAGTCTGTAGTCAGTCCTGGGTTGGAGTCCCAGCTGTTACGTGCTTGCTGAGTGACTGAGCCAGTCATTGTACCTCTGTGAGACTCAGTTTCCTCATTTATAAAAAAGGGATAGTATTAGTATATACCTCCCTTTAGAATGTTTTGAGGATTAAATACATTGACATAGGTAAGGTACTTAGCAGAGTGTGTGTCCTCGAAAGTGTTCCCTAATCATAGCTGTTGTTCATACAGACTACTTTATAATTTGCAAACACATCCACATCAGTGATCTCGTTTGAGGAAGCTTGGGCAGTGGCCATTACCCACATTTACAGATGTGGCAACTACGGCTCAGAGTAAGGAAGCAACTTTCCCAGAGTCATCAGGAAGGGAAAGAGGGACATGGGACTTGAACCCAAATTCCTGGAATCCTGAGTCAGGACCCGTTGTTCTTGCCTGATGCCTTCCTGCACCCCCTCCCACCTCAGCTTTTTGTGAAAGAAGGGCTGAGCCTTCCCAGCCTGGACTTCTAAAGAAATAGTAGTCTTGCTTTTTAGAGTAGTTGCCAACATAGTTGCATGTTCATTATATGTTTTTATAATGTTTGCATTTTTGATATAACATAGAAAGTAAAAGTCTCCCACAGTCCTATCTCCAGAGATGATCACTTGGAATGGGAAGGGGCATATTCTTCCACATCTGCTGTTACTGTTTGCTTATTTTTACACAAACGTTAGAGCTACCGTTTTGCAGCTTGCTTTTGTTTCATTTAATGGCACCCTGGACATCTTTTCCCAGGCAAGAGTTAGGTCTGTGTGAGTCCCATCAGAACATCCTGACACCTCTCCTGCTTCCTCCCACCCCCCACGCTCCCCTCTCACTGTCGTGGGGTTTTCAAGCTGTCTGGGCATGTGCAGCAGCAGAGTGGGGTGGGAAACGCCTGTTAGGTGATTTTGTCTACTCTTGTTTATTGGGAGGTCAGCAAACCCTGGCCCTGCCCTGTAGGAGTTTCCTGTTGGTTTTGAGGAACTCTGCCCCGCCTCCCAAAAGGGGAGGCCTGAGCCCTGTCACTCTTGTTAGGCAGTGATGAGCAGGAAGCAGCAGGTCCTGCTTATCTGAGATCAGAATTCCTCCTCTGTGCCAGGGACGCTTGGAGGGAGCAGCATAGGCCACACACACACAGGCACACGCACACGCACAGACACACACGGACACACACACGGACACACACGGACACACACACACACACACGGACGGACACACACACACTCACGGACGGACACACACACGGACACACACGGACACACACACACACACACACACACACACACACACACAC